GCGGCATGGGTGTTGGGAGGGCAGCCCCTCTATACTCACTGTGAACAGGCCTTTGGCTCTCCTCCGGCTGCCGACGAAGAATCGAGCTCCTCTCACCGACAGGGTGGCTGGGAAGGGCACATCAGCCATTCTGAAAATATCAGAGGACAGCGTTAGGGCCACAGGAGAGCGGTCGCACCAGTTTACCCACAGAAGGAGTGGGAACGAGCCCCTCACTAAGCAGCGTGCACCGGGCCGTGGCTGCCACACAAAGGACGGCACACAGGGCCGATCGCCTGCACAGCTCTGGAGGCCAGTAGCCTGGATGAAGCTGGGACAGGGTTTCTCCAAAGGCTCCAGAGGAGGACGCTTCCTCGACTCATCAGCTTCTGGTGGCTCCAGGTGCTCCCCGTGACCTGTGGCCATGTCACTCCAGTGTCCACCTCTCCGGTTGTCTGTCTGCTGGTAAGGATCCTAGTCGCACTGAAGCAGGGCCCACCTCACTCCAGGGTGACCTCAGCTTGACTTGATGACTGCAAAGACCCTGTTTCCAGGTAAGGTCACATTCATGGGTGCTGCGTGGACATGAATTCTGGGGGGCACTTCACCCCAGGGCCAGGACCTTCTGCAGAAGTGTGTGGTGACATGCTTAGTGGTTCTTCTCCATCTCACGGTGAATGTGCCATGGCTTCAACCTGTACAGGGTCCTCCGGCCCACTCACCCTCCCTCCACTGAGCTCCTGCACCATCACCCAGCCTGGGGTGCTGGGACACATGGCTTCAGGGCAGGAGGAGGCTGGTGACCCACGAGGGTGTCAGGAGCAGGCGGTCTTGATGAGTGGGTGGAGGCTGAACACTGGAGATGGAGCAAGGTGGGTGGCCACTGGGGGACGGCGTGGCTAGAGCTCCTGGGCAGAGGAGCAGGGGTGCCTTCGGGCTTGCCTCCCCCGCCCACGCTGCCACTGTCTCTTGTAAAACGTCTGCTCCTTCCAGTCTTTGCCATCTGGCTGCAGCTGGCCGTGGTGAGCTCAGCTCCTGCCCTGCTGTCCCAGAAGGCCCCGTCCTCTGCACACAGCTTGGCCTCTGCTAGGGTCCAGGCTTCTGGCCCCTGAAGCCCTGGCCTGTACCCTCCATGGCAACCTGCCAAGGGCTTAAGTTCTTCCGTGGCCACAATCGGCTCCAGGCCTGTGACTCCTCATGTCCCACCATCTCCCCCAGGAAGTCCACTTTTAAAATATTTGGGGAACATTCCTAATCATTATGCTTTCCACCCTAATTTCTTCCTTTCTCCTGAGGAGGCAGGTGAATGTTTGTGCAGGCCTCAGGTGCTGCTGCCGCGTCATTCCTAGCTGCTGTGGTAAAGCCAGAGTCAGGCGGCGTTGATGTCCAGCCAGAAGGCCTTTCTTTACAGGGTGGGAAGCCGCTGCCAGGCCAGGTTGTCTTCCGCCCGCATGGCACCTCCCTGGGAGACTCTCAGCTCTCGGGACCTGAGAACTCATCACCCTCCTGAGGGCCCGAATGAGTTTGGGGTAGTGTGGGAGAGAGGCTATGATAAAAGTGTGTTTAAACTAACTGCATAATAAAAATACTTATAAGTTTCGTAACAAAACAGAAGATCCTACCTTTGAAAGTAATATTTGAAGGCTGGGCGCGGTGGCTCAAGCCTGTAATCCCAGCACTTTGGGAGGCCGAGACGGGCGGATCACAAGGACAGGAGATCGAGACCATCCTGGCTAACCCAGTGAAACCCCGTCTCTACTAAAAAAAAAGCAAAAAACTAGCCAGGCGAGGTGGCGGGCACCTGTAGTCCCAGCTACTCGGGAGGCTGAGGCAGGAGAATGGCGTAAACCCAGGAGGCAGAGCTTGCAGTGAGCTGAGATCCGGCCACCGCACTCCAGCCTGGGCGACAGAGCGAGACTCCATGTCAAAAAAAAAAAAAAAAAAAAAAGTAATATTTGAAATAATACTTTACTATTTAATAGATTTAATATAAACTGGATCATTTGCAATTAAAAAGACAGAAGCGCAGTCCTACTCCACAGTGGTAGATCCTGACATTGGTAACCAACTGGCTGAGCTATGGGGACTGAGGGCTCCTGTCCAGGGGACCTACTGTCAGGCCACAGAAACCAGGTGACGTCAAAAACGAGAAACAAACTCGGCTTCCAAAAGCCCCCATTGTGTCCAAGGCTTCAAAGGATAATCTTGTACTCATTTGGAGTTTTTGTCAATATTTGCTCCCTCGTCCGCGAGGAACCTGCCATGTGGAGTCGAAGCCAGGCCTGGGTCTCCAGCCTGGGGTTGGGGAAGGAGTGACTCTGACTTCCTGCTGTTGCCTGTTGTGATGTTAACGCCCTCCCCACAGTGCTGGTCCCCTGCCAAGTCCCCTGAGCTACTTCTGGAAAAGGAGTGTGCTTGGTGTGATCGTCCTTACCTGGTTCTAAGCCACTGAGTCTGATGTGCAGCGGGTTTTGTGTTTAAGACATGGAGAAACATTAAAATCTGGGTTTTGACAGCAGTGTGCTTCATAAACTCTCCCTGGATTCCCCTTCCAGCCCGAATCCAGGGCATCACTCACCACCTGCTCTCACCAATGCCCACTCTGCCCACAGATGGTGAGCCTGCCTCGCCCCATGCAGCCCTTCAGAGGTTGGCAGGGAGCGTGACCTGACCTCCCATGGTCAGCCCCTGCCTCATGAAAGGCTCCTGCTCCCTGGGCGGCTCCTGCCCCGTGGATGGCTCCTGCCCCGTGGGCGGCTCCTGCCCCGTGGATGGCTCCTGCCCCGTGGATGGCTCCTGCCCCTCCGCCCCGTGACTCCTGGCCCTGGTCGGCTCCTGCAGGCATTGCCCGGTGAGCATGGCTGAAGGACGCCCGGCCTGGCAGGACTCTTTGGGCCACAGGTGCACCCTCCCCGGGTGGGTACCTACATGTCCACCGGGAGGCCGCAGTCCGTGGTGAGGGAGAAGATGCCTGCAGACACAGCCAGGACCAGCGTGTGCCAGCGACTGTCCACCAGGGCCGGGCTGCGGAAGGACACTCGGGTCTGCCAGGCGCCGGCCGTGTCCTCGCGAAGGAACAGGAAGTGCAGCTGGGCAGGCGAGAACCGCAGGCCCAGCAGCAGCAGGTCGCTCTCCTCCGCCACCACCGTCAGCAGGTACTC